TACAGTACATGAACCCAGATTCCTGAGTTTTGGTAACGATTATGTTAAAGGCCAAGGTGAAGTCTATAAACAGCATCCTAACAAGGATTTACAGCATGTGTAAATGTTCTAGGGAAGTATGTAGTGCTAGAGATATGGCATCATCAGCTGACCAATTTGAGCAGTAAGCGAACTGAGCGGGTCAAGGGAGACTGGGATAGTGCAAAGGAATTTTATATAACATTATGCTAGGCTTTCCAGGCACTTCATGACCGCTGAAGTGGGTGCCACTGGGTGATAATCAGTCAAACCAGTTACCTTATTACTTCTTGGGCAGTGGCACGACTGCAGTTTTCTTGAAGCACTCTGGTATAACTGACAGAGACAGAGAGAGGTTAAAAATATCTGTACTGTATATACAAGAGATACTGTAGCTGGCCTTTACATGTTTTAAGGATACGAGGGGAGTGTGGACTGACTGCTTTCTGGGTTTTCACTCTCTTAAAAGCTGAACACACTTCGTGATTAGATCTGTAACACAAAGTCTCCTGGTTACAGAGCCTTGATAATGGGCTTGGTGTTCTCAAAGCAGATGTACAGTATAAGGTGTTCAGCTCATCTCAGAAGGAAATACTGCTGGTATTGCCTTTATAATTCATGACAGGCTGCAAGCCCTGCCACATGTGCCTTAAGTCACCCACAAGCTGTTTTTCTAATTTGTCCTTGTATTGCTGTTTTGCCAGTTTGAAAGCCACGATAGAGACAGCTTCCGGATGCGTTTTTTTGTGTTTACAGATGACGCCATACAGCTGGCCGATTGCCACTTCAACATAGTATGCAGGTGAATGCATATACAGGTCATTATAACAGCCCAAAATTTCCTCGGTAGGTACAAAGGGGTGACATTATATAGTGATTCCAGATTAGATTAGCAAGATCTGTAGAGAATTTATATGTCAGTGCACCTAAAGCTACTAATAATACTAATCATATAATCATTTTAATCATCATTTACAGTTTCAGAGAAGACTGAAGACTGGCTGTGATATTCTTTTCCTCAACTGTTTAGTGACAGCCTTGGCCATATTGCAGGATGTCGATATATTTTTGCTCCTACACAGAGCTGTTATATTCATTAGCTTCAGAACTGAAGACTGGCCATTATATTTTTCCCTCAACTGTTTACACATTGGACTAGCCACTGGAACATTGACACAACCACGACTGTCCTACAGCTACCCACACTGCCTCTGCTACACCCTATGCTGCCTTGAAAAAATCAACTACCCCACCTGTATACTACAACAGAAGTCATATGCTATAAATATCAGCTAATGAATTACTGTTTCACCTTAAATCTTACAGTATGTGTAGGGTGTCACAATATAAATAATATAAAGAAATTGAATATCCTTAGTATTTAACTGGAACTTCATACAAGTATTGAAAAACCTGGAGGATAATGACAACACTGACTCAGAGGATGTCTTAAAAATTACCTTTTAGAAAATAATCAGTGGACCCAAGTTAAAATTAAGTGGATTTGCAAATCAGGGCAGAAAATAAGGCATTTTATCATAAAGTGAAATGGAGGTATCTTGAAAAAGCTGCATGAGATCAAATGATCAATCAGTTATATTTAACCAAATAATTTGGGCCAAATTACTTTTTCCTGTTTGAAACCTTATTATCTTCTTATGCTGTATGATTTCTAATTTAGTACTATTTGCTATTTGGGCAATAATATGAAACTAACTTTGAAGTTGTGTTAAAGATGAAAAAAATAAAAGTCCTCTTGGGGTCACAAAGCTGGTGAAGTACCCCTTATATTTTTACGATAAAATAAGGATATGGAAGGAGATTTTAAAAACTGAGTAGCAGTCAGTTCCAAAGGGAAATGATGTGACACATTATACACTCATGATATATTCTAATTCAGGGAGGCTTGCTTGAAAATAATTGTTAAAATCTGCTTAATATTAGTGGAACCACAACAGGATTTTCTAGACTTATGCAGTAAATTTGTTGGGAATTTCTGCCAGGGTTTACATTAGATCAAAATAATTAATTTAGACAGACATCTGGACCTTACAAATGAGTAAGCCTTCCAGTCTACATTTATAGTATTGAATCATACTGCAACCAGTATCGTTCCATTTACAACAGGATTTTATTGCAAAAACAGTTAATTGTGTGAGACATGCATATAAAGAAACACCTTAACTCCATATTTCATTGTCTATATTGCTCAGTATGTATATCAACTTCTTCAGAACCAACAGTGAACCGAAGAGCATTTAAAACAGATAACAGGAGGCACTTCATTACATAAAGGGTTTGGGGATTCTGGAACAAGTTATCATGTTACTGTATGTTGTTGAAGGCATTATCATTGCTTCTTCCAGGAAAATAGATACATGAGATCCTTGGATTACATTGCTGCTAAAAAGTAAAAGAACTAGATGGGACAAATATTGTTCTCTCATTTCCAGATTGTTAATATTGATCTATTTTGGTTTCTTTGTGTAGTGTGTGGTATGCATATATAATTATCCTAGTCCAACATTAGAAAGGAGGAGTCACTTGATGTCAAAGTGGTTTGGGACTGATGGACTTAACTCACTTTGGCATGGTTCCCGTAGCACAATTATTCACTTAGTCATGGTCAGTTCCTCCAATGAAGACAGCTTTATATTGTACTAGTTGCAAATATAGTTGGACATTTTTAAAACATATATGTATATTTTCTACAGCAGCAGTTAGTACAGTAGAATAAAGCTAGTAAATCCTGAAAAAGTTAAAGTTTAATAGACTAAAGCTACTTGTGCTGCTGAAGTTGGTTGACTAATGAAAGTTATTTTCTAGTATGGGTTTTCCAAACATTATAATATTTTTAGATATTGCTTCAGTTTTAAGAGGACTGTTATTCAATGTGTTCTGATTATTTAATCATTTAAGTTACAGTAAATAAAGGGTTCTCGGTCATATACTGTAAATCTTTAAAAAGTGTGTAAGAACACAAAAAACAAATTCACATACTAAGAGAAAAATACACTTCAAACTAAAAAACAAATGTGATTTTTTTCAGTACCAGTTATAGTAGGTACTTGGTATAATTGAGTGGGATAACCAAATCTTTTCTGATCAGCGAAGATGTAGATTTAATGCAAGGTTTTAAAAAATTAATTAAATGTACTGTTGAACAATGTACCCAGTTCTGAATACTTAAGTGTATACAACACACTACAATACAATAAGTAGCAGTGTATTAGGTTATTTGCTGTAAAGAACAGTTTATTTTATAGATATATGCTAATAAAGAAATTAAGGAAGGCATGTATTATATGTGATATTATGCAATACATGTTAAGCAAAAATGAAATATGTTTAGGTTAACATTAATTAACATAATACATCTGTCAAAATGAATTATGAATTGTTTAATACTTCATGCAGTATGGCTTAATATTATACAGTTTATTTTATTAGCCATTACTAAGAGCATTTGTAGATTTTTCAAGTCAGGTTTTCTATATAATTAAATCTCTGTTGAGTGGAATGAATTAAGAATTTAACTTTGTGTGTGTCCAGATGCTCCCAGTTTTTTCACCGTGCCTCCTGACATCAGAGTATGAATAATATTTCAGCACCCTCCCCTTTTCTATGGTAAAAAATAAGCCAACACAATCCAGATGGCCATTCAGAGTGTTAAATAGAACCGTTTTTGGATCACTTTCTGCTATTCAAACATTTTCTTTACAGCCCAGAAACAATTGATTTCACGGTTCATGCTGTAAGGGTATAGGTTTACCAAGTTTCTTCATGGAATGTTTGCCTCGAGAACATTTAAGATTTTTTTTTTTCCTAAAATATATTTGTACTGTAATGGTGACAGATACCATATTAATATGATTACATTCGATGTTAGAAAGCATATAATTAATTATTTAATTATTACTGTATATGAAAGGAGCCTTGAAGATGTTTAAATTATTGTTAGTTGTAGCTGTAATTCATAGTCATACACTAATGTATTTTATTCATTTTAGTAGAATGACTTAAAACTTATTTTCAATGACTTTGATAGGTCAACATGTAATAAACTGCATTTTGTTACTTTATTGCATTAATACCAAGAGTGGCTTGGTGCTGCTTTGAAGTTGGTGAATTGGCCACAGTGAAACATTTATCATTGCTCATGCAACAGCTTCAATAACCCCAACTTGCCACCTTCATGAACTCTAAACATGTAGTTCTCAAACTGCCTGCAGGGAAATGTAAGTGACCTGATATGGGAATTTCATCGTATAAAATCTACTAGAGTCATTTTCTTTAAACTTTAAAGTTTAGGCATGTTCCACAAGCTTAAACTTTAAAGACTTATTCAATCACACATTTGCACAAGCTAAGGATGGTAGATTCTGCATGTTATGTTTTATTTTTCCTTCTGTTTTTCTTTCTCTTTACTTATATGTTGTATTTTGCTCTTATTTCTGATTATTTCTAATTAATTTACACTGTGTTCCTCAAGAAAAGAATATAATTTTATTAATAGAATATTTTAGAATAACATTTTTAGTAATATTGTAAAACAAAAGTTATTGTATTTTATTATGGTATCACTCAACAAAAACACGTTTTACAATGCTGGTAATGTTTAATGCTAGTAGAATAACAAAAAAAGAATCAACTATTTAAGCTGTGTCCTAAATAAGCCATGAATGTTGCTACTTACATTATTATTATTATTCCTGTTTGAATTATGCTAAGGAGAACTCAATTTCATGCTGTAGGCGCTTAATCCACATTAAACCAGAGCCTTGTCTTAGTGAGTCATGAGTTCCTAAACTTACTATATCTTAATGATTAATCTTTAGAAAAATTCAACTAGCTCTGAAATCACTGAAAAAAACCATAAAACAATAGATGGATTGTAAGCAATCAACAAGTGAATCCAGTTAATTTCAAACTGAGTTCAGAGATTTCCCTTCTCTTAAAAAAAACTGTATTTACATTAAAGATAGAAAACAAAAGCACTTTATTAAGTTTCTCAACAAGACGTTTCAACAGAATAAATCTTTAGTGCATAATCACAGAAAATGTATCTATGACATTATTTCTTTTGTTTTTTTTATGAATACTCATAGTGCGTGGAGGATATCATTATGTCTTATACAGCTTTTTTTAAATGTAATGTACCTATTTGCCTGGCAAACTGAAAATTACTTATCACATATAGTGTATACTGTAAATCGTGTAAGATCTCTTACGAGATTGGAATTGTTTATTTCCTATTTATGTTAAGCAGTGTAGAAGCACATATTATATTTATAAGTTAAGATGTATACAGTATGTAAAATATTTGAGACTTGAATTACGAGTCACTGTTTAACTATGCATAAAAGCTCTCTCCAATTATGTATGTATTACATCTATTAACTGTTGGTTTGTTTTACCTGTTAAGACATTTTAATTGTCCATAAACAGGCTTTATTGAATAATAGACAATTTCTTGTAATATAAATTTAAACAGTCAGTGTAGGAAATATTCTTGTTAAGTATCCACTCTTACTGTGGGGAACAGAACATTGCTAAATGGCTAACATAATCTATGAAAGTAAAAAACAATACAGTTCTAAATGCAACTCAGACATATAACGTACAGTTTATCACTCTGTCTCTTGTATATATCCATCACACATCCAGTATAAAAAACAGAATGTTTGAGATCTTATTTTTATTGTTTTTCTTACAGTTTGAATTAATCTAAATATAGATAACCTTATCTAAACAAAATAATGCACAATATTAAAAGCAAAACAGTGTTGATTTTTAAACAAGAAAAACAATGATAGTTCAAGGTGAATATTTTGTTATTCAAGATAATCCTTTTAACTGTTTTACGATTTTCAACCTTGTTTCTTCTGAAGGTGAGATGGACGCAGCATCTCATGACAGCATTCCCTAAAAAAACCTTATAAAAGTTTGTGAAACGTGCAGCCAGCTGACGTTGATCCACATGTTCAGTTCATACAGTAGTATGCATGATAGCTAACACATTTCGCATTCTTTTTAGAAAGATTTAATGTACATATGATCCTAGATCTATGTTCTTTTGTGATGTAGTCCTTGCCTTTGCCTAAGATATGAATATCAGTTTTGTACCTTTCACTTTTATTACACAGATCAAGTACAAATAACAATAAACAGTAGACAACAGAAAGTTGGCAAGACAGATCAACATTAAATTCCTTTGGCAAAATATACATCACGGTATTTAAGAGGGTTGTAAAAAAGAAAATCAATTTCCTAAAAGAAAGGCATTAATATATCATTTCAAAACAAAATTAATAGGAACAGTTCAGGAACATAGTGAATGAACATAATAGTTTGCTTAAAAGATTTATTCAAATCTGTAAAAGAAAACTGATGAGTTCAGAACAATTATAATACAAGATTAATGCTCTGTTTAAGTACTGTATAATAATGTACCACAAAGCAGGACATTGATGGGTTCTATAAAATACATAGACATATTTGACTGAAAAGGGATGTTTTCCAGAACATTAAGACACTATGTGTTCAGAACTTGAACTTTCTTCAGAAGAAATGTATGCAAGCAGTCTGCGACCGGTGTTGCCAACATAACACCAATGCAGCTGAGCTCTTCATAGAGTTGTTTTCACCAGATTATCCAGTGATTGAAAACTACTGAAAGGCTTTCATTGACACAATATGGCAAACAAGGAGCAACTCCTTCTTTCCAGTTTATGTAGTCTTTTTATTTAAATGGATCTTACACAATGCCCAGGCTCTTCACAGCATCAAGACTCAACCAGAAGTTCAAAATCCAATTATGATGTACACCAGATCACTGGAATTACAACACCCCATTCTGTAGTTATCCATGATGCTGACCTTGAGACATAGCGAATCCTGGCATTCCTTTCTGATCTCTTTAAAGATATTCTTGGGCTTTGAGGCAAGTACACTGGTGCTCTCTTTTATCCATCTGAATCACTTTTGCACATGCAGTCACATTCTTCATGATGTTCCAAGAGTACGTCTGTCATTGATTTTTGCCATCCTCTTCCCCCACTTCTATGTCTTAGTTGGAGAACCTAAAAGAGAACTTCAGCATTTAATCTATGTTTTATTTTTAAATCAATGACTACATTGATTTATTATGATGTAGCACATACATAAAATGAATTCTATAATCTAAAATGAGGAAATAAAAATTTGGTCATGGGAATCCAAAATCTCTGCCCAACATACAACAATCACATTGAAATACAATGATAAGTGACTAATAATTGCTCTAACTGTATTTAATTAGGAGAAAAGTTTCAAATTTAATATTGTACTTACTATTATATTGCTAGAATTTCTGTCAGTTTAATGGTGATTTGCTTTATTTAAATGAGGAAAATAATGTACACCCTATATTTTTTATATTTTCTTATTATGATGTGGTTAAATGTGACTTGCCCAATAAACCATGCATCAGTTTATTTCTAAAAATATATATTTCAATACTTCTGTCACTGTGGTTTAAAATCAAATGCTGATTTACTGATTTTTTTCAGCTCAGTAGATAAGGACTTATGAACTATTTTATTAATTGTTTGCAGCAATCTCCTCAGCATGCTTGCAAATACACCACAACCAATTCTCAATTGCCAGACCTTTTGGTAACAGGATGCAAATATCCCCTGCTTTTTCTGAGTAATCTATGTTTGAAAAGTAGCTGACTAAGATTTGTGCTGACTAAGAAACTTTGAGACATGTTAATTAACATAAACAAGTAACCGTCCATCCATCTACTTTCTGATTGCTTCATCTAGTTCAGGGTCATGGGAGAGCTGAACCCTGTAGCACAAGCATCAAGCACAAGGCAGAATACATCCCGGTCAGAACTACAGCCCATCACAGGGCACACACAGACACAAGACAGACAGGCACACATTCATAGCAGGGCCAGTTTTTACAGAAGCCAATTAGCGTATCAATATTTCTCTGGATTGTGGGAGGAAACCAGAACAGGCAGCAATGTTAACTTCTGGGCCACTGTGCCACCCAGCAAGTAACTACTTCATCTAAATAAATACTAATTCAAGGGGAACAGAAAATTATAATAAATCCTCTTGATTTAGGTTCAGAATTATGCTTGATCAGATCTTGAAAAAAATCAATCAAAGAGTACCTCATGGTATTTCTTGATGACCTTGGTGGGAACACACTGACATTCAAAGCAGTTCTGGGCACAGCAGGCACAGTTCCCACCACATCGCTTGACCAGAAGACAGTTTGGCCAGAAGATGGTGTCAGTTCGCTTCAGTTCCTCACGGAGAGACACAGAAAAGTTGCGTGGGGTGCAGCTGTACAGTCTCACTTCTTCCCTCAATAGGTTAAGATCCACCACTGGAGACAAAGGTCAAAAATATTAAGACAGGAGGCTTTTGTTTCTTTATCTCTTCCTGGCAAAAGTGTTGCATGTATTTATTTCAGATTTTAACATGAACATCATAACATGTCTACTGTAAAGTATCTCACATGATAAGATAAACTAAGCCAAGCCAGGTGTGCAGTAAGGAGATAATAAAGTAATTCATTTAGCTTTGACAGGTGTTTGTTTAAAATGTACAGAATTACACTGGTATGGAAATGGTTTGGGGTTAATTTTAAAAGTTTTGAAACCATAGAATAAAAAGTAAAACCCGCTGTATACATTAACCAAAAGCATCTCATTTTGAGAACTGTTTATATGAAAAACGAAAATATTTATGTCTTTATGAGGCATAGATAGACTATCTTTATCAGCCATTTCTTCTTTGAAATGTTATTGTAGGGCCTCCCCTTAAGTAAAGAACTTTCAAAAGGCTTTGGAGTTTCTTAAAAGTTGTGCCAAATCCCAGTTCTTTTCCATGAAGTTAGACAAGACATACACAGGCCTTTTTCAAGTTTCTTGAACAAAGAGTTCTTATCATCCATCAATTTTCTAACTGCTTTATCCAATAAAGGGTAGCAGAGGGAGCTGGAGCCTAACTTGGCAACCAACAGGTGCAAAGGCAGGATACACCCTGCATGGGATGCCAGTCCATTGCAGGACACACACACAAAAAAACACTCACACACTCACACCATTTTCTCAGAAGTTAATTAACCTTCCAGTATGTCTTTGTACTTAGGGAGGAAACCAGAGCACCTGGGGTACACCCATATGAAGAAGGGGAGAACATACAAACTCCACGCATACAGTACCCCAGGAACTGAACCCAGTGCCCCAGCAATGCTAACCACGGTGCCACCAAGCCGCCCGCAAGGACCAGTGTTCTGTTCAATGAACCATTACTTACTTAATTGATCAATTGCTTAAACATGCTTTTCTAATTTTTAAATAAGTGATTTAGGGTGACCTATAAGAATAACTGGATCAGGGATGTCCAGGACCAGTGTTGGAGACTTTGATGATAGCCAAATCAGCTGATTTAATATGGACACATCTACAATATTGGACCACATCTCCACATAGTAAGTTTACATTTTGCTTCTTGAATGCTTAGTTTACAGTTTTTGTAGTCATTCTAATCTTGCCACCACTGATCCACTTTTCAATAACAAAATAAAAGTACAACATGATCACTTTATTTATCCCACAGATGTCTCCAATTATTAAAATTGATTTGAATATTTAATAAGCACATAATTTGGAGAGGAATAATGACAATGGATCACTAGTAACAGAATACACAAGCAAAGACAATCCTGGCTAAAGCATACAATATGAACAAATTAATTTTTTAACTGAAACCAATTGATCTATAAAAATATATGAATTTAAAGATACAATTTCTTAAATGAACAGAAAAAAAACATACTATACAAATTGTATCTGTTAATGGAACCTTCAAGATTTATACTGAGAGGAAGCCTTGTACCTCAACCCAGCATCATTTTGACTGCCTTTTAATACACCTTAATCCTATATTTCTAAGTGCCTGGTCTTGAACCAGAAACTTTCTAGGAGTAAGTCCTCCACCTTAAACCCTTGGATTGTTAAACCACATACTTTTAGTTATTTTTAAGAATAAGTTTAAAGGTGCATAATAGAATAGAAAATTAGAATATTGCATTTTCTTATTTTTATTCATAGTATTTTATCATTTTCAAACAATGATGGAGTAGTGATGCTAAAATGTTTGGGGTGTGTTAATGTTTTAAAGTAAAAATGTGCCTAAACTGTATTTCTCACCATCTTTGGAACAGTGGTAGTTCTGTTGTTTTACTTCCTGATCTGAGCTAAACTCTACTGGGGAGGTCTTCCTGTAAACAGGATAATTTATCATCTTCATGGAAAATGACAGGAAAGAACTGATAGGCTCATGAACAGAATAATGGCTGTGTGTAGAGCTCCAAGTTTATGTCATCTTTGCCTGCAATTAAAAGTTTCATACATTGAAGCATTAAATGGAAAATCAAAATCACAGCATTTCTGGGTTTACTAGTGCTGGATATTGTTTTGAAAATGGAAACAGAGAAACAAACTCCCTTATTCCAATTTCAGTTACTAGCAAAGTGACTATCTGCTATAGTAACACACAGTAATACAGATTAAGTAAAAAATAATAATTATTTTATAGAAAATAGTATATATAGAATGTAAATTATACAGATCTTAATTACTAATGTATTTTTATCCTGATCTGGATTTCTTGCTTTGGATTAAAATGCTACCTGAAGTTTTAGAAATTCATCAGACTTTTGGATACGAATATAAACACTGATGTGTTTCTGTAAGATTAATGTGAATTATGTCAATTTGTGCATTTTAATAGTATCTGTAAAGTGGATGGTGTAGAGATTCAAAGAGTCTAACACAGGGCTCCCCAACCCTAATCCAGGAGACCACCAATCTACTGTATCAGCCACCTCTAGGACAGGAGTTGAAGACCTCTGGTCCACACCTTATCGCTGACTCAAAAACACTGAAAAGAAGCATAACTCATGTTAAGTGTTACCAAAACTTGACAGAAAAAAACAATAAATTTAACACCTAAAACCATTTTACTATAATTACAAAATTAATCTTCCTGTCAAGAACCTACAGTATAAGTTCTACAAGAACCCCCTTAGTTTTATTCAACATGCAAGAATTAGCATTGACTTCCTAATGCTTTTTTTAAAATCCATGAACATAAGAAGGTTAACCATAGGCCTCTGTGATCCTGTGAGAATTGTTGAATGTTTGTCAAACTATTTAAATTTGTATGGCACAAATTTAATATTCGTGTTTATAGCATTACAAAATGAGCTCTAGAAGCTAAATATATTCAATAATCCCACAATGATATAACAGAGAGCTCCATAATACTGTAACACTATTCTAAACTAAAAAATACTGACTATGAAGGTAAACATTTACAATATACTGTATGCTGTGACCCTTATTACTAGACTGAAAATAATTAGTTTTCATGATTGTAAGATATAGAACATGTACAGTAGATAGATCACAGGCCCAAAATAAATACAGTTAAATTGGGCAGCAAGAGTATTAGGACCGACCATGAAAAAAAATTACATTCAGAGAGGAAACAAAAGTTCCACGTCCAGTGTGTAACACTAAAGCAGCAGCTGTTGTCAATAAACTTTTCATTGTTTCACTGCAGTTCCAAGAGTAATCTTTCAACTGCATTTGGCACATCAAACATATGGGAGTGTTCACTTTAGATTTTCAGATAACGTATTCCTAGCTGATGAAAATAATTATACACCAGGGATAAGCCTTTGCTCAACTACAGTTCATTAAGGCAGGATGATCTGGGAAGAAAAGGACTGAACCTGTTGGCAAGATGGTGTATCTAACTTTCTGGCTGCCTGAAGGATAAGCTATTGATTAGTATAGAAAACTTTAAAAATTAAGGTAAGAGGTCTCTCTTATTGTGAAATGAAACTTTTACAATTACTATGTGCTCTCATGACTATGGTCGTAGTATCCGATAGTGAGGGTAAGCACTGGGCAGCAACATTAATAGGATAATTTGCTTTGCTTCTGATCTGATCTTCTTTGCATGGTTATCTTCTTCTCTGACTCTCTCACGATACATAAGCAAAAGACTGTTCACCCATGCACTTTTAGTGTCAGCAGATAACAGAAAAGTTACAGTACTTTCTTCTAGCTGATGAAGGAAAGACTGCTCAGTCTCAAAACTGGTGTAAACTGGTCTGACATAAGAGAAGAGATTACTTTTCAGCAAGTTCCTAATACAAACAAGCCCCTCACCAATCATCAGTATTCCTAGGGAGTCTTTACAAGAAATTAGATTTAAGTGGCATGTTATCTTAAAGGTCACAGACTTTTTTTACCAAGATCTGTTCAATTTCATATAACATTAACTCTTCGAAGTGTTCGCAGTGCCAACTAATGTGCTGAATAAAATAATGTTTGTTTGGCCACTGCTACTGTAAACTACAGTACAATGAATGGAATGTCTTGCACCTGTGGTCAGATCTTGGACTGAAACCACTGCGCCTACTACTGGCACTACACGTGGTGTATACTGTAGCTCAAATGACAAGCAAAACCCTACTGAAACTAGTTCCTTGTAGTGGTGGGTTTAAATGTTCTTGAGGTATCTTGGGAATTATGTTGCCATAGGAATCTCACTGTATACTTTGAGATCTGACACATCAACTTCATTGACTGATGGGCATCATTTAATTGATCCAGGTCATCGCATCAATGTAATGTATACCATTGGACCCCTCAAATTTCATGGTCAGAGGTACAATGCCAAGCACACAATCTGCACGGGCCATAAAAGCATCAACACAGAATGTAGGGATACAACACACTTGAATGACCAGTGTTAATACAGTATGTGGATGTAAACTTAGCATATACACGTATGTTAGTTGGGTGACATGGATGGAGTCTAAGTAGCTGGCAGTCACACCCAAACTACTTAAATAAATAGTAAATAGTACCATGCCACCAACAGTCTCATGACAGTTGCCAATAAGAAAAATGAAAGAAAGCATCGAAAGTTCATTGCAGGGCAAACGGAAAAACAGACATTTACTTCTTAACCTACTTTACCTATTAATTTGCCAATTAATGTAGCAGAAAGTCTTTGGATTGCGTTAGGAAACTAAAGCACCCAGAGGAAATCCAAGTGGACATGGGGGGAACATGTAGAGTAAACGCAACACAGATACCACCCCAGTCCAGAACTGAGGTAGGAATGCTAACCATTGTGTCACCATGCCACCCATTATATATATTTTATTAATATTCATAACAAATATGTTTAACATCATCTTCCGTAATTGGTTTATTATAACAGAGATTCACTGTATTAATTTTTATTTTAAAAACATTCAATATATTGTTTCATCCTCTTTTTTTTTGCTTATTTGGAGTACCCAATTCCAACGTCTCCTTCGGACAAATCTTGTATTTTTTTTATGACTGCCAGATTCATTTCTCTTTGACCCAGCTATCTTAACTTGTTCAAATTCAAATTAGAGAGTGGCGGTCAATGTTCTTTTTTATATGTTCAAGCTGTTTTATACCTAGAATTTATGCAGAAGATAAGCGTCAGTCCTGGAAGAAAGGTGATCAATTAGGAACACCAGGACTTGATGTGACACTGTTCAAAACTAATGGCCAATTTGAAATCCACTGCAAAATACAACACTTTAGCACAGGTTACCACTGGGTACCCTCCAGGAAGGTCTATCATGCATCGTAAAAGGAAGCTGTAAGAAACACTTTACCTCTGGATTTCCTGGGATGGATGAATGACTTGCCAAGTATGTGCCATGTTGGCTTATACAAGTCGTCCAAATCCAGCTGCCATCTTTCAGGATCCAAGTATTTCATAACCTCCTCCACTGTACTTAACCCAGAAACTGCTTCAATTAACATGTCCATAGTCTGCAGAGAGGGTGGCAGCACTGCAGGGGATTCTGGTACAGGTAGGCTCTAAATTTAAAATTTTAAACAAAAAAACATATTTAGAAAACAAAATGACAAAACATCTGGATAAAAGTACACTGTACACCTGTTGGACGGATTGGTGGCACTGTGGTTAAGGATCTGCACCTGTGGCTGGAAGGTTGCTGGTTTAAATCCCACAACTGGCAGAGAAATCGTACATTGTTGGGGCCCTGAGCAAGGCCCTTAACCACAGCTACTATAAGGGTGCCATATAAATATATGGCTGACCCTGCGCTCTGACCCCAAGCTTCTCTCTCCCTGTCTGTGTGTCTCCTGGAGAGCAAGTTGGGGTATGTGTACGGACAAATTCCTAATGCAAGAAATTGTATATGGCCTATAAATTAGCAATTACAGTATATTACCTAACTTGTTATTAATCTAACAATTATGTTCTATATAGTATACAGTATGTACTTATTAAATATTTTTGTTTGTTTACCAAAGACTACTTGACATATTAACCTGCATTAAACTGCCATGTAATTATCTAATTCAGAGAATAGCTCTTATTTTTGCTTTTTAGATCTTGACATTCTATTCAAGGTTTTTCATTTACTAGTACTGTATCTCAAAATGGAAAGGACATCGTACAGTATATGTCACACCGTCCAAATTTGGCCTGATGAGTTGTAACTAACATTGCTGTCTGAAAGATGGTAGAAACCTTTTAAAGTAACTATTTTTGCTAAAATAGTGATGATTTTATTAAAAATGACTTTGGTGAAAAAGAACAAATCAAGAAGAGTTCCAAATGTGATAAATAATTGAGATTTTAACTGAAACATCTTTGGTTGTAGTTATCTGAAGCCCGTTTGGAATTTTAATGAGAAATGTCAATCAACAGAAGCTTGGACCATCTTGGACATGTCAGAATATAGCTTTCAGTCACTAGCAGTAAAGTTCAGAATATAGTTTTCAGCTATTAGTAATATATGTAACACAGGCATCATAACACTGACTGTATAAATGCTGTGTCCATTCCTCAACAAGAAAGCCTATGCCTGTGTGGTGGTGAATGATATTGCAGTTGTAATCAATGACTAGCTGTGATCTACTGACAGCACATGAGTGACAAGGTTGGCATGGAAAGACCTTGAAACACCTTGAACAATGTGATACTGGAATGCATGTGGAACACTTGAAAAACAGCTCTGGTTAAAAAAAATCACTGAGTGAGGTCTATGTACTGTTTATACTGTATGTGTTCTCTGAAGACCTGCATAGGTGTCCAATGAGAGGAGGATATACTGTCTCATATTCACACAGCTCCTCCACCCATCTTCCTTCAGACATAAGGTAAGGGACAGAATGCTTCCTAACTATATGTCATATTTCAAGTGGTTGCACATGTTACATAGATTAACCTCTTTATTCAAAACACTGTAAAAGAAAGAATGCCACAGAGACATATACAGTACATACCACTCAAACAAACTATTTATTCATAATGGGCTTTTATTGCCTTTAAAGTGATTTTGGAACTGTGGAAAAATCAGATAAGATATAATTAGACACAGCTGTGGTATGCCAAAGGAGCAAATCCATGTAATCAATTTCCTTCAGCCTAACCTGTTGACATTGTGCACTCAGCATTTTCAATACCTGTTGGCAGTCTTCACATCTTGATCTTTACATTGAAGCTTATACAACTGAACATTCATGATAAAAAGTGCTTTTATAGTTAATATGGGTAGTGATCTCCAAGTATAATTGGTGGATCATGCTGTTAACACATGAAACCAGGATGTCTGTAATAATATTGAATATTCTACATTGAGCTTTACAACATACATTTTAAATCTATTCCTAGTTTTGATGTGAAAGTGAACTGTGTTTAAGACAGTATACAGCTAAGGAAAAGTTATTTTTGTGGAGGCCTAAACAAGTCATTACATCAGAACATATTAAATAGCAGAAATGGGAAAAGGCCATCTGGCTCATCTAAAGCCTTCTGGCTAAAAGTAGCTAGGTAATCTGGATCTCATCCATGTGTTTCTTGCAAAAAGCTTAAGTATTGACTTCAACACCATGGCTTGGTAGCCTGTTCCTCTTCTTTTCAAAAAGGTTTGTAAATGGCCTATGAATAGCATCTCACTTCCTTCAGTATAATTTGTAGAATAACTTCAGACTGAAAAGACTTGTACTCTACTTATACTTCCTTACATTCTTCAGGTACCAATAACATTTCTGTCTCTGGCTATGCTAAGCATTTTGTAATTTTAGTGTGTCATGCAGTTTTGCTCTCTCCCTCTTGCCTTTGCAATATCCTTTTTACCCAAGCTTGCAATTCAATCTGTTAATTTTCCATTGTTTTTTTTAATTGATTGATTACATGATTTGGACAATTTTCTAGATTTTGATATACTTGCTCTTGCTCCTAAATATGTCCTAGTCTCTTTACAGTGTTTCCATCCATTCTAATATTTTCATATCCACCTTCTACTCTCTAAGCTTTCGTTCAAAAAGCTTTCCTAAAATTGTAAACCTTTGATTTGGAAGGTTCCTTTGAAATTTATACCATATTTTGACAGTCCTCAAATGCTTCTCTTGATTTTTGGATGACCACATTGATTTTGAGTATGGTGCAGGGCTGTACCCTCTCTTTCACCTCCCCTGTCTCTTTGGACAAGTGTGTTGTATTCATGTTGTATTCATCACCATCACTCTCCATCAATCATGTTTAGTATGATAGTACTAATTAAGGTAACACAAGTGTTGCTTCACATATTCTTTATTTACTTCAGTTTCTGTCTTAATTGTATGAGCATATAATTTTCCATTAAATGTTGTTAAATGCAGTTGCATTATTGTGTATTATTGCATAACATCATTTTCCATACAAATTGACTGTTTTACAAAGTAATGATTATGAAACATGGGTTATGACCAGTCTATGACTGAATTCTACTGATGTGGTTTTTTATCATCCAAATTAAAATATCACAAAGTAAACATTGTAGAATGTTCCTCATTATAGATTAAATACAGTTCTAATTGCATCCACTAAATTAACCTACAAACATTCTATTTAAAAAGAAGAAATATTAGAAAGAAAAAACTTTACATACTGTATGTCTCTCAGACATAATGGATCTTTTGCTCATCAGATGAACTTATTTTTTGATGATACTGTGGGAAACTCTAATAATTGTAGGACCTAAGACATACAGTAGGACACTAACATTTTATATAAAGTATATAAAGTATCCAACAACTGTGAGTTCTTTTTCTCTGACTTTTCAAAATTCTAAGAAAGACTGGGTTTTATGGGTTCCCATTACATGCAAGTAAAATAAATTTGGTTATGAATTGGGTATAAACCAGCTAGACAAATCTGACTGTATGACTGTAATCAGAAAAAACAAATTGATCAACAATACATCAGTGTAGGTGGATAAATAGTGAATTTAAGTTATTTTTGTAAGCTTGACAATTGGATATGCAAGCTCCTGTGGCTAAAAGAGTATTCACTCTTCCACCATTTAAGGTCCTTGTTTTTACCTACTGCTCTTTCATCACTTCTCCCCCTCATACAGTACATCCAGTCCCTCATCTATTCCATACCACTTTTCAATTTCTTTATTCATCTTCTGCTTGCTGCTTTGTTTTCCTTTTTTTCACTTTCCTCCTTCATGGGCTGCTAATATTTTTACACTGAATTTCTGTGGTGGAACCAGATACCATGAAAAATCAGGACTGCAACATCTTGGACCACCTTAAGTAAACAATTAGAAATGTAAACCCTTCAGCTCAACACATGGATAAGGCCATAATGTGCGGAAGAAGGCTTCAGCTTTCTGGGCCAATGGAAACCAGGACATCAGTACAGATGAGATGATCACCAGCAGTCTTGACACAAGAATCATCTAAACTAGAAAGGAAGGCAGAAGAAGCCAAAGATAGTTGAAAAGGAAGTTACACAGGGAAAAAAGACCAAATGAGAATCAAAGGGAAAGATAAAGTAAATGATCATCTAAATGCATGCTAATATCTAATTTCTAGGAGTATGAAAACAGATGAGACAGCAGCCAAATCAGAAGAGACAGAGACAGAAGTTAGCAGGCAATTATATTGTTACTGGAATCACAGAAACCTAACTAACCAAAAATGGTGGAGAGCAATGTAACATTAGTAAATATACCACATAAACAAAATAAGAGGTAACTTTTTATGAGAGACTTCAACTTTTGTGAGAAAGACCTATAGGAATATCAGCAGCAGGAACTGAAATGGTACAGTAAGCAGGGTTAAACGACAGCTTTCTTAAAAGCTTGTTAAAGCACCTACAAGAGGAAATGCTCGTATACACATGCAGGCATTGAAAATGCACAAGGTGTTAGTTGGTATACAGCAATAACTGCTGCTTTATGGTGAATACCACCACATAATATCATTATATTTTTTCAAATAATCTAATGCAGGACTGGACTACAATATAAAACTGCCACGTGAATCCTTAATGTATTGCAGTTGTGTGTGCCTGTCAATCTTATTTCAATAACTCATACTACAGTACAACATGACCTGTCTTACTGAATTTCTAACAATATCAAATGCCTCTTTTTTCACATTTGTCTGTCGCTTCCCTCCTTCAGCTACCACTTTGTAACTTCTCATTCTACAGGGGATCCCAGCCTCCTCATCCTCAAAGATGGAAAGGGAGAGGAGGGAGATTCAAGGGAGATCCAAACACATACTGTATTTTGCTTGGTTACATAACATCACTAATCTTCAATGTGTATTGTTTATTAATGTCAATTAATGCTGGTGGTATGTCTATAGGGGAATATAAGGGTTATGAATGAGAAATAGGAATTAGTGGAGTACTACAGGGATCTTCTTAATTTATATTAATGATCTAGATTCCGGAATGGTTTGTAAACCACTCACGTTTGCAGATGTTACCAATATTTAGGATGACTAAACACTGTAAATGAAATTCAACAATATTTAGCTACAATCCTCAAATTCTCATTCTACAGATG